GCTCATAAAATGCACTTCACAACAAAAGCATCTTCTGTTGTTGTAAGACCGCCTGGCAGCTGTGTGTCAATAAGAGTGTCTGCGGTAAGACTTGTGTGAAAGATGTATTTTCTTATCTGACAGGTGACTTTGATGCCTCTGAACTGAGTGATGGAGAACAAAGCCAGGTCTGTTCCTGCCGTCTCTCACTTCACTTACTCAATCTCAGTGTGATATGCTGCCCAGTATGTGTCTATACAGAACTAACTAAAGAAAACTTGAGTCTTAAAACTTTAGAGACAAAATATGAACGGATAAAAAAAGACTGGATTATTCAAAAATATTTGTATTATTCATTTGCCAATGATTTTCAATCCAGGACTGGCTTAGCAGTGATCCACAGGATATGAAAGAGTTATTGGATAAACTGACACAGGAAAACCAACAAATCGCTCTGCTAGAGGCTCAACTACAGGTCAGTATACAGTCTTATTAATGCTAATGATGTTGTCTTACACCGTCATGATGTTTCAATAAATATTTCTGAATATCGTCCAAGTTGTCCAGAACCTGGATTTGATTAACCATCTATATCTTTCCTTATCTTTCAGTCTCAGAAAGAAGAACTCGACTCAGCACTGAAGACAGTAGCAGCAAGTGGTGATGAAAAAGGTAAAGCAGATCTGGAAAAAGAAAACACAAAATTGAAGGAGGAGTTGTCATCTCTGCCTGAACTGAAGAAAGAACTGGAGAGTCTGAGGGCCAGGGTGACTGAACTCAACCAGCTCACAGGTATGATGTGGCATTTAATAGTCTTTGCCGCGGTATTTTGCACTCATTTAATATTTATTTAAATGATAATGCAAATAGAAGGGTGCCGAGCAATAAAATCTTTTGACCTTTATGATCAATTTAACTTTGATATCTTGCTTCCTTCACAGCTGATCAAAAAATGCCACCGGCTACTCCCAGTTCAGCCCCTCAGCCTGGTGACAAAGCTGGTCAGAGTAACCAAAAAGCAGCTGGACCTGAGAGGACAAAGGACACGAATGAAGGAGGCAGGCTGAAGGAGGAACTCCAGAGACAGAAGGTTCTTTTGGAGGAGAGCCGAAAGAGACTGGAGGGGATGAAAAAAAATGGAGGTGGCAGGAAAAACGTCAGAGATAATTTGGAGGAGATCCAGAAGAAGCTTTCTGAACAAGTTGAGAGGTGGGGGAAGAAGAAGCCACAGGAGTCCAAATGGAAAGGGAACAAAGGCAAAAACACTGAGCGGGACCACAGGAAGAAAGAAGAAAAGAAAGAGTGGAGAGGAGAGAAGGAGTGGAAGCACAGCAAAGAAGGAGGATGGAAAGACAAAGAAGAGAAGAAGGAGAAAGAGTGGAAGTCTCAGAAGCAAAACTCTCACAAAGAGGCATGGAGGAAACACCAGGACGAGTGGGAGAGGAAGAAGGACGAGCGCAGAGTGGACAGAGAGGAGAGGAGGAAGGAGAAGCCGTGGCACAGCCGGCCTAGTAAAAACTCTCACCACCACAACCATCATCATCAGGACCAGCAGCGCCATCAGCAGCCCCGCCAGCCTCCTCAGTACAACCACAACGATTTCTGGAGAGACCAGGAGCAGAAGCTCCGACGCAACGTCCGCCCCCAGCTGGGCTGCAGCTCTGTGGACGACTGCGCCAGCAAGGAGGGGCTCTACGCAGTGGAGCTGTCCGAATTTGAGGAGCTGCTGGAGGGCTACCTGAGCAAGCTGGAAGGGTCTTCATCCGAGAGCAAGGACAAGATCCGAAAACTGACTGCAGAGTTCTTTGAGGACGGCGTGTTTATCCACGACAGGGTTCTTTTCAGCGACTTTGCTGAGGACATAGCGGACATTCTGGAGGACATGGCGGATGTTTTAGAGGATGACGGGGAGAAGGATGACGACTCCCTGGAGGAGGAGATGGAGGAGTTTGAACGAGAAGCCCTCTGGAAGTTTGCTGCCACAGCTTAAGTAGAGACACTTAGGGGAGAGGAGTAAAATCCAACGTTTAGATACAGCAGAAGCGGTGGTTTTATAGGACATTTCTTGCCTACCTTGTCCTCTTCAGAGCTGTAATTGTAGTAGCTTCTGGTACAGAGTGGTTGTGCCTCTCATAAATGTGTCCCTCTGAGTCTATAATTATAAGCTAGACTTGTACTTGTCATTTCAGACTTAGTTGTTGTTACCTACCTCTGTCAGGTCATGCCTCCTAATGCAAAGTCCTTCAGTAATGTGTGTGTATTTTCCTCTGCTATATAGTGTTTTTTCAGTACCTAGTGCATGTTGCAGTTCATAATGTAAATTCCAACTGATAATATTCAGATCACACTAAAAACAGGGTTTTAAGGAGATGGTATTTGCGAATAATTCTGTAGAGCACCAGTGCAATTGAGTTAAATCTATTCATACAAATAGTGTCAGATAAGTTGTCCGTTACACAAAGACATGTTAAATTGACTGTTAAATACTTTTCTGTCATTTGACGTTCTCCCTTGTCTGGGAATACAACCTGTCTCTACTCCGAACAGGTTAAAACAAATGCTAAGAAATCTTTGCAGATACCATTTGCCTCAAGTCAGGTGAAACTGTCTGATCCCAGAGGATGAGCTCCCACTTCTTTCAGTGATAAGAATAAGATCAGGTCAGACCAGTTTTGTGTCAGCAGCTCTTTAGTAGATTTAGGCAAACACACACACACACACACACACACACACACACACACACACACGCAGTGCTGTTTCAGAGCCCTAAAGCGTTTGGTTTCTATATTTGAAGGACTTTTCATTCTCCGACTCCCAACTGTCAGTTGACAGCAGATGTGTGGAACAACCAGGAACCAGTTTATGAAACATTCACGTCAGTGCTGCTAAAAAAAAAGCAACAGGATAAACTGATATATATATATATACAGCCATAGTTGGATTGATGACTGCTAAACCACTTTAGCACTTTTCCCAAACATTCACTTTTACAGCAAAAGGGTTTTTCTTACTATTTACTTCTTCTTTTTTTTTTAGACCACCAGTCTGAATCCTACATTCTTTTAGTGGAATGTGGCCATGGGGACCTCCAACACATGATCTACATATACTGGGTATCCCAGAGCACGCCGAGTAAAACATATAGAGTTTAGTGATCTTTAGTAATCCCCAAAGTATTTCATTTAATGAATTTGTTCATTTGTCTAAATGAGATTGGCAACTAAACCAGTTAGTTTTTTTTCATATTCCTCATATTTTATTAGCAGGTTGCTGTAAATTGACATGCACAGAAGTAACGTAGTCGTAGCTGTTTGATCATAGAAAAAAAAGAAAACTTAGGAAGCTGCTACATTTCATTTTGTTGAATAAGTCAGGCAAAGGTAAAACAAGAATGGGACAAAACAGTGTCTATAAAGTATTGCAGCATTACTTTGTAGTTTTTTTCAGTTTTCGATCTTAGTCATATTTGATCATGAAGGTTTCCCTCTTTAGGTGGATGCGAAGTTAAAATCGACAGATTGTGATTGTTAGTTCTCATTTTTCAGTGATTGAAAGAAGCTTTGAAGTGTTAAATATTTATTTATTCTGTCACTACACTGCAATTCTTTTCCTTATTTTAAGCTAGAAGAACCACAGACTTTTTCATATTAAATGTGGAAATGTTTTTTTCAGTTACTTTGGTTTTCAGAAATTTAGTTTGCCAGCTATTGCGTACGTGCCTTTAAATGTTAGATTGGACAAGAGGTCTTTGACTCAATTTGCTTCTGCTAGTTTAAAAAGAAAATAAGTTTACACTGCTTGCAGTTTCACTGTTTATAGGGCAGAGAATGAATGTCAGAGGTTTACTTGTGTTGAACAGATTCTTGTTAAACATCTTCTCTGTTGTTTCTACAGAGGAATTTTCTTTCAGTTTTTAGACCAAAGGGATCAAAAGAAAGATTAACCAGAACAGATGGATCCTTTAATGAAACACATTTAAGAAAGTTTAATCAGTATCTGAGACATGTTTTTGTCTTTGTGGGACAACAGTAGGGATCTGTGCTTATTGATAATGTTGCCAAGATGTGCATGTAATTGATCCCTGGACAGATGTACTGATAAAATTGGATCATTTCTAGTTTTCCCAGCATCAGTTATGTCCTCTTTTAGGAATTCAGTGTTAAGTTGAATAAATTTTTCACCATTAAGAAACTGTAAATAGTGTCATTATTTAAACATATTCGGAAAGAGATATTGCAGAATATCCCCTGAGTCAGCGTTAAGAATCACAATGAGCTGTGTTAATGGAACTATTATCCTACTGAAAAATTTACAATGATACCCAGACTCGTGGCACCTTACTCACTCTCTTTTGCGAAGTTGTTGGTATGACAAGTATCCATTATCACAGCTATGATGCCCAACTAAAATATTTACACTCAGATTAAATACTCTGAACAGGAGCTTACACATTCACAGGCACAAACTCACTTCCAGCCGGGCCTCGTACGTGAAGCAGCCAGTGTGGGAGTTGGTCATTGACCTGATATGCTGCTGAACAAGAATGTAAGCAATGATTGAGAAGAAGTCAGTCGCTGTGAAACCCCAGAGAGCGCTTGTCATTCTTTGAATTCTACAAACAAGTCACCATGCAAACATTTCAAGAGAGGGCCCTCTTAACAACGTTAATCCCCAACTACAAAATATCAAACAGACAATCTTGAGAAAAAAAAGTGAAAGAAAGGAAAAAAAAAAAAAAACCTTCTTGTTGTCCTTAAAATTCAACAACATTAAAGTTGCCATCTCTCTGCAGGTAATCCACGCACATTTACCCCTGTAACCAGAAAGATTTACACATGAGCCAGTGTTTGTTTCACCTGAATGCCACATTATTTGAGTCATGTTTTGTATAAACTTATTACTGCTTAGGTGTGCGTGATTCGGTCACTTGATTAGAATGGCCTGACAAGGATGCCGTCAGTAAATCCCTTGCTCTGCAAACAGACTAAAATGGGTTTTGTGCTATCATCAGTACAAATTTGCCCTTCGTAGGACAGAATGGCGTTTTTTTTGTGTCTGTGTTTGTGTAGCTGTGGATGTGTGCAGTTTTGTGATGTGTATCCCCAGAGTGGTAGAAATCAGGCAGAGATAAGGGCAGCCTACTGGATGGGGGAGAAGGGGGCAGGTTAAGTGTTTTCCGCTGATGTGTGCATCGGTCAACAGCGATGAAGCATATATATTCAGAGAGGTGATGCCAGAGTGGAGGGACAAGGTTCTTGGCACTAGCTGCAACGCACCAAACAGCGTCTCACCACAACCGGTAAGATCGCAGATTTCTCTCTTTGACTTATTTTATTGTGGACGAGGTTTGCAGCTTTGTTGAGGCTTTTGTTTCTCTATTCATTTTTACTTTTCGGTTCTTAGCAACAAAGCATCATGGAAACTGCCATCTCCACCCTTGTCAGCCAGTTCAAGGCCTATGCTGGGAAAGATGGTTCTGCCAGCACCCTGAGCAAAGACGAATTCCAAAACCTGGTGACCTCTCAGCTACCCAACTATGTCAAGGTACATCTCTGAAGTTGTTCCAAGACCATTTGCCTGCTGATCTCTATTGACTTTGCATCCTGAGAAGCTGTGGTTTATTATGCAACGTTAAGTTGTCTGCAGCCTCACTGTGCTGTTATTCAGTCTTGTCACTGTGGCTAATTGCTTTTGCACATAACTCTACTGTTATCTGTCTTCATGAGAAATCCATTCTCGTTGCCACTTAGATTTACAGATTGCTTTCTTTAAGTTGAGCAAAAAATCATATGTATCATCATTATGTCAAAACTCTACAAGTATATGCTGTAAAATTGACAGAATTCATTCATTCATTCATTCATTCATCCATACAGTAATGATATAACACTGTATAAATATATAGATGCGTGCATGAGGTGTGATATACTATATGAGGGACTCTGCTTTGCTTCCATGTACAAAATATTATACTAGGTGTGCAGAGAGAGCTTGAATTGTTATTTTTTTCCACTGATGTCAGTTTGCAGTGATACATGATACATATGATACAAATGCTCACGTTATCATGCTAACAGAATGAAAGTATTCGATTTACAGTGGCACGAGATGAAGGAAAACAGCTGTAACCACTAAATGCTGTTAATAATAGTTTTACTGGATAATTCCTTGATAATTACTTGGATAAATAATCAATTATCCGATTTGTGACGAGTTAATTCAGATTTTGTGAGTGTAATGTTGGATTGCATCTGTTTGAAAGTGGAATGGAAATAATCATGTATGTCGCATAGCCTATGTCAGACTCTGTCTATTTATATACAAAATATTGCACCTTCACATATTATAACATATATTAATTGAATACATGTTTTATAATGGTCATTGTAAGTTATTGGGTTTGAGTCAATTTCCCACTGTTGTCTGCTGACCACTATACAAACACAGATGAAATACAACACAAATACACAGATTAAATATGAAGGATTTTATCAGAAGGGATCTTTGTGTGGCCGTGAATTAAGTTTTACCTCAGTTGTATTAATGACCACACTCAGCCATTAGGTGGCAGGACCGTCTTTCAGAGCAGCTGACACTGCATCTCAGAGTGATCTTGTATTGATCAGGGTCTCTGCTCTGTGATTACCCACAGAACTCCGGCGACGCTGAGGCGATTGACCAGCTCATGGGTTCACTGGATGAGAACAACGACGGGGAGCTGACGTTCTCCGAGTTCTGGCAGCTGATTGGAAAACTTGCGAGCAAACAGGGCGGCTTCAGTCAGTAGAGCTCGCCATCCTGTGTCAATTGTGGCTTTGAGCAGATTGTGCAACGCCAATCGACTCAGTTTAAGATGTCCAACTATAAAACTCAAAGGCATTTGAATTCTTTTATCACTCCACCAGTGCCACATGTGTAACTCTTTAGTTAACCATTTGTTGAATGCAGGGAACTTTGAATTAAAGGCTTCATTGTCATGAACCCTGAGCCACCATCACTCTGTCTCCTGTCATTCATTCACCACATTATATGATGTCCAGCCACACACATTTGAGCGAGAGTGTATTACAGCCTTGATTTAGGGGCCTGTAATCCTATATGCGTTGCAACTACCCTATGCAGACCATATCTTGTTCCATAGAGCTTCATAATGCTTGTACAAAGCTGCCTGCCCAAGCGTTTAGCAGCAGTGATGCAAAAGCGTAGCCTGGTCTTCACTGTCTTGTCACTGAGGCCTCAGGACACTGTGTCATGGGGATACGTGGACCAAATACATCCCATTATGTTTGGGTGGGCTTATTGTTTTTGCAACATTTTGGGTTGTATTTTTGCTTGTTTAGCTGCTAATTCTTGGTGTTACAGTCACTCTGCATTAATTCTGATGTCTAGACAGAGTTATGTGTGCCGGCATGCTCCCCAGCTGTTTTATAGCCTATAGGCCTGTTTTAGTTTTGCAAAAGAGAAAAGGTGCCGCTCACTGATTCGGTGAGCGTGGATCTTTCAACAGATAAGTCAATGTGACCTTTGTATCCAAATTACACATGCTTAGGTGCCAGTGTGGGAGGCGTGATGACGGGCAAATGAGTCAGTGGCAACAAAGTGAGAGACTAAATGAGCAGGGCGCCCCTCTAGTGTGGGCTGGGAGCTCATTGTCTGTATAGGGAAGGCCTCGCAGGAGCTCTCCCAAAGTGTGGAGACTTGTATTTCACATATCCACAGAAAGAAGCACAGGCAAGAGATTTCATATGTAGAGGGATTTTTTTTTTTTTTTAAATGCAAATACTTGAAAGCCCTCTCAAGAATTTGGCAAGACCGCTTTACCTCTTGCACCACTTTTGCCTCCCACACTGGCTTTCCTGTACTTTCAATAAAGATGCCTCTACTCTCAAATTTCAAATGTGTCCGTTCCGAAAAAAGATTGCTGCCATGTTTAAATCTGAACTGCCTTTTGTGGTTGAAAAATATTATTTTGTTCATATTTGCGACTTTTGGCGCAAAACAGTCAATGATAGATTTTAAGAGAGTGCGTGATAACTACACTTTCAGTTTCAAAGGTTTTTTTTTTTTTGGTTTTTGGTTTTTTTTGTTTTGGCTGTGTGTAAATACTTTTGAAAGCGACTGGGACTTGTGCAGATGAAGTAATCCCACCCGCCCTTGTCTCCTCGTCCCACCAGATGAAGACGCTCCAAGCCACAAGCCTGGCGAACTGGCGTGAAACTGTGCAAATCACACATGACGTGAAGCAGCTGGAACATGAGCCAAAGATAATTCCAATAAAAACCCCAGTATAAGTGTTTTGATTCACTTTCACTCCCCTTTTCCCTGAGTGTTAGACCCGCGCTCTTCCACATTCCCAGCTCTCCCTCTCACTCTTCCAGGTACACGCCCTTTGACTTGTCAGGGGGAAAAAGTTTTTAAGGAAAGAAAAAAACCTAAATCACGGAAGAGATTCTGCAGTCCTACTAGTTTGGCAAGTTCTCTGGGCTCAAAGCGGCGTAGAAAGGCGGAGAAGAGGAGAGAAACTCGCATCTGTGCACATTTATACACTTCTCCTGTCCCACAGACGGTATACGGTGAGTTGAACGCGGTTTTTTTTTTGGAGTCTTTTAAAGTTTCTCCACCCGTGTAGGCATTGTATTTGCTCATGGTTTTTTTTGCCACGTTTCGGTAGGCTACTCTCTTGCGAGAGCCATCCCATGAAACTTGGCCGCGGTCAGACAGCAGGACGGTTCCAATGACACAAGTTTTTCGGCTCATGTTGCTCTTTTATAAAAGAGTAAATGACAATAGTTTGTTGCTGTTTAGCTTTCATTGCTAGATCTACTTTTTTTTCTCTCTTTCTCCCGAAGAGATATTTGATATTTTGATGTAGATCAGCTGACAAGTTGCCGATCAATTGCAAACAGCTTATCAAAAATTGAAGTGACTTTAGGTGACAGGATATTGATCTTACACACAGTATTTCCAGTCGGCATCCGGGTCGCGCGTAAAAGCCCTATTTTTGCGCAAAATCAACATTTTGCGCACAGTATGCTTTTTTTTTATGTATTAAGAGGCCCAACACGAGTGACAGCTGAGTGGATTTCTGTGGAGCCGTGTCGCTTCTTTCAACTCAGTCTTCAATGTTTCAAATTGCTTGTGGCGTTAATGATGATGAGTCCCGGCAAAAACCTGGTGCTTGTTGTTAGTGTTGCGCACGCGTCTCAAGGCTCAATTGTCTGTATTTTTCAAAACTTGCCGAGGAACTGGGTGAAGCGCAGCCACTGTACGTCTGCTCACGGCAAATTACAGTCACAACCTAACTTGTTCCTCTGTTAATATTTCATGACACACGAGCGGTAGTATTGTCATTACTCTGCGCACATACCGTATCACATTCGCCCATTTGGAAACGCAACACTCAATCTTCTTTCGGGGCTGTGGAGGGAAACGGGAAACCTCTGGTTGTAGGCCTGTATGTTTAATTATTTGCGCAGTTGTTTTGGGGCCTTTTAAAGACAAGTAACGCGGATTAGTTTGTCCCCTGAGTGGGACAAGACGAAGCTCTGACGTGGGACGGGTGATGCAAGTCGAGAGTTGATTTGTCGAAATTAGGGCACATGTTGGGAAACTGTCCAGGCTGGCAATACCACCTCAACACGGCTGACGGAGTAAATAATGAATGTGAGAATGGACAGAGATGTCAGTCCAGAGAGTAGGGGGAAATGTCTTTGCTGGGTATTTTTTTATGGAGAGGACGCGGTGAGAGCCGTTGAGGCCCTTGTGTACTCAGGCTTTAAGAGGGTGTGTCACCGGTCCAGGAAGAAGTCCTCTAAAGTTCCTACAAAACACGGACAGAGTGTGTGAATCACAAAAACTGACAATAATTTAAAAAAAAAGAAAAAAGAAAACGTGCTGGATTAATCTGTTTTCTCATAACTTTATTTCTGTTGTTCAGTGACAATCAGAGATGACATATGCTCACTCTGCTACATGCACTCTGGTGGTTGTATTATGGCAGACTGGGTCAGACAGTTACAGTTCAGTCGGTCATCATGCAAAATCTGAAAGGGATCGAGTGAAATGTTAGATTTTAATGGCTCTACGCCACAGTATCAGGGCTCTCTGCGTCTCCTGGTGTAATGAGACTTTCAGGCTCATGCTCTTGGCCGGTATGAGCTGCTTGCAGAGAAACTGCTCAGCTCCAGGGTGCTTGAGTGTGGCATGCACTTAAGTAATTGAGATATTAATTTGCTGTTTACAAACGGCCACTCGGCTGATTGTTGAAACAAGGAGTCTACACGGTGTGTTTTCTCACCAGTGTAAACTGTTGTTTGCTCTGCAGCGTTTGGACACTGAAGCTGACAGACGAGTACGGTCAGCTTTTAGCATATCCTCTCACTGTTTTGGGGGCAAACTAGCTCGGCGGTGGCCTGTAAATTCCTGTCTAAGTGATCTCCACAGACAGCAATGAATGGAATTTCTGCTAAGATGTGTCACCTACTGGCATGTTCTACGTTTACGGCAACGTCTGTAGATTACATCTGTCGAGAGCTAGATTTATGAGTGGGCCTCAAGCTAAGTCAGGTAGCGTCTCGGTAGACTTTTACATATTTGTGCTTGTGTTTAACACGAATGAATTAGCTGCTTATGTGTGATCTGTGTCGGGCCTCATCGTCAAATACACTAGGATGTGCGTGTACTTGTGTACAACCGTGTGAAGGCAGTGGCCTGAGAAGAAGAAAGGGCAGCAGAGTGAAAACAAGGATGAAACACTGACAGGCAAAGGAAGAGAGAGTGGCACTGAAAGAGAGAGGCTGGTACAGCTGACGAGAGTGAGAGACAAAGAGAGAGAGAGAGATAGAGAGAGAGAGAGAGAGGAGCAGACAGGGACGAGGTAATCCCTTAGGTAATCTGAAGCCCAGTCCCCTTGGTAGCTTCACTAGATCAGATGACCTATCAAAGATCAGAACTTCCATTGTGCATCAGTGCTTGTCTCTCAATCAGACTCCTTCTCACCCTCACCGCTTATCTCACGTCACCATCCCTCCCTTATTGCGGCTTTAGACTCAACACCTGAAACGAAAAGGTTTCGTAGGGACGCAAGCAGATCCTCTGTTTCATTTTCCACTGGATGTGCCCATTACGATGCAACAGCAGTTCAACCACATCTATCTGTCTATCTATCTATCTATCTATCTATCTATCTATCTATCTATCTATCTATCTATCTATCTATCTATCTATCTCACACAATTGTCTTGACCTCTCCCTTTCCCCAGAGAGAGGAGTCATGGAGGCTGCCATTCAGACCCTGGTGAAGGTCTTCCTGAAGTCGACCAAGGGAAAGGAGAGTCTAGGAAAGAAAGAATTCCAGGGCCTCGTCAAGTCCCAGCTCAGCAACATCCTGTCGGTTAGGAAACCTTCATTGAACCTCTCTGAAATGTTACCAATACTTCAATTATGTAACTACCTCACAGAAAAGCAGCCAGTAGTCTTGCTGTTGGCACTGGCTAGTCTTAACCTGTCCAGAGCACTGCGACCAAATGGCGGTGTAATATGCAGTAAGTGAATGGGAGAAGTGATCCGATATGATAGAATGACAGCCATCAGCATTATAATGTAAAAAGAGCCACTGATAGAGGTTCATTTACTAATAGTGTTTGGTGATTTCGGCAGTGAGAGTCCAGGTAGAGTTACTCGTCATCATGCTTGATTGTCTGGTTTGTGTGTGTGCCTACTACCCAGGACACAGACAGCAAGGAGGCGGTCAGCAACATGGGTCAGGGGCTGGATGAGAACCAGGATGGCAAGGTTGGCTTCGAGGAGTACATGAAGCTGGTCGGCTACCTGGCGGTCTCGCTCAGCGAGCAACGTAGCCTCGCCAAAGAGGAGCCTGCCCAGAATGCTGCATCTGGACAGGTGGCACAAAGTACCCCTGACAAAGAGGAGGAGAAACCAGAGGTAAACCTAGAGGCAAAGGAGGAAGCAAAGCCAGAAGCGAGCGAAGAGCCGAAAGCAGACGCAACTGCTGAAGTAAAGGTAGAAGCAAATGCAGAAGGAGAGGTGGAAGTAAAGGTAGAAGTAAAGGCGGAGGGAGAGACGCAGCCCGAGGTCGCCAAGGAGGAGCCGACAGCGGCAGCGGTGACAGCAGCGGCAGAGGCGGCGGCGGCGGTGGTGGAAGTGGTGGTGAAAGAAGAGGAGAAGGGGGAGGAAACAGACAAGGTGGAGGAAGCTGCAGAGAAGGTGGCTGCGGCTGTGGTGGAAGAAGTGGAGAAGAAGACAGAGGAGGCGACCTCATAGGGGACAATCCATTCCTTCACAAGAAAATCACACTACACACTTACATGAAACACTACACATATCATAGCATTAACATTGCCAAAATATGTTTGTAAGCCACTAAACAGTTTTTGTTTTTAAAATACACACAACTTTGAAATACAAAATATAGGTAAAAGTTCAAACACTACAAACCCAGCTCTGAAGAAACCCCATTCCTTATATATGATAAATAACACATGTATATGAGCGTACACTCATTGCTTTGTACTGCTAGTTACCACTATGTTCATATGTACAGCATGTGCATCCCACTATATAGCACATTTACCTCATCATGATAATATACTATGATTGCATGCAGACGTACACTATCATGTGCATGCCATGTCCCTGTGAAAACCTCACTGCCAAAGTCTGATTTCCCTGCACACGAGACCAAAGTGTCACCGCATGTTCACACACCACTGCAGACAAGAGGTTTGGTTTAAAATCCTGTCCTCTCCTCACTTTTGACTCTGTCTGGGTCTCTTCCTCCACAGTTGTGTCACGCAGCCCCGCATCACTTACTGTTTAGTGAAATATCACTGGTGTACATCTTGCAAGGTACTAATGGCTTAAAGGAATAGTTTGACACTTTGGGGAACATGCTCATTAGCTTTCCTTTCAAGAACACCAATGAGACAATTGACAGCATTCTTGTGTGTCCGTTGAGATGGAGCCACAGGCGGTTAGCTCAGCCTAGAATAAAGACTGGAAACAGAGGGAAACAGCAACGCTGGCTCTCTAGGGAACAAAAAACACCCACCAGCACATTTAAAGCTCACTGGCTAATATGTTATGTCTTGTTTATACTTCACTTTTTGTACGGATTAAAGAAACTAAGATATAATTTGTTAATTAGTGAGCTCGAGATGTGCTGGGAGGCAGATTTTGTTTCCTCCAGACAGCCACGCTCGCTGTTTCCCTCCATTTTTCAGTCTTTATGCTAAGCTAAGATAACTGGCTACTGAATGAAAGCTTTATGCTTACCAAACAGGCATTAGACTGATATCAACCTTCTCATCTAACTCTTGGCAGAAAGCAAATAAGTGTAAATCCCAAAATCTCAAACTATTCCTGCAATGGTTGCACAAAAATCATTCAGTAACACCGTATCTGTTTTTTTCACATCCTCATCTTTTAACCCACAGTGCTATGGAGCTGATTTGGCATGACAATAAACAAATTGTTTTGCTGAAGCTTTGCATTCAGCTCATCTTAATTGTGTACTCAATGCCCCATCACACCCTCTTCTCACTCTATTTCATGGGCTCTCTGTCTCTTTCTTGTTGTTTTTTCTGTAATTCTCAGAGAGGTTAACGTCATCTGGAGTCTACAGTATATTCTCCTCACTCGTAGTCAGCCATGGATTATTAACTGGAAGATCAGGCGTGGCCCTTGGTTAAATTATTAAGGTTCAAGGATGGAAACCACACCAAAGGACCCTTATGGTCAAAAGGTGAGCCAAAAATAGTCCCATGGGAGTGGGCTGGTCACTGGAGGAGCAAGTCAGGGAAGGTGTACATGCAACCTAATCCGCCTGGATTAGAACTGGTGGAGAAGAGCAAGATAACAAACACCAAGAAGTAAAGAAAGCCATAACAGGTGTCACCTGGTGGCAGTTTTTATCTAAAGTACTTTACAATACGATATTGTGTTCTCCAAACTGCACTATTACAATGGTCCTATTCTACTTATTGATCCATAAAGGTGCTGGGCTCTAGAGTATCTGGTGTAGCACTGAATTGGAGTGACAGAAACTTTAGCTCTTTTTTTTTGGGGGGGGGGGGGGCTCTGTTTAAAATTGCTGGTTGTTGCTTGTTGTTTTCCACTGGTTTTGCACCAGTTGTTCAGGCTTGCGTGTTTGTTTGTTGGTCACACCCTCATTCAGACCCTGTTTGACGTGCAACTGGATCCCTGAGTCCCAGACACTGGGAAACTACTGGATTTGGCATTTGAGGGTTGGGACACAAACAATTACATGAAAGTAATCCTGGGCTCCACTGATCCTGCCCGTCAGACCAGGTGCTAGTGTCAGAGGGATCATTGTCAGAGGTTGTGCTTTTTTTTTTTTTTTTTTTTTTAAGTAAAAAGGAATACTGAGCCAACAATATGAATCTATGTGGTGTGATCTTTTACAACAGGCTAATAATAAGATGTTGCATGCTATCAGAAACTTATTTGCTACATATTATCATTGTATTACCATTATTGTAGCCATTATTTAAGTTCTACATGGCCTCTTTATATTTAACTTTTTAACCTAATTCTTTCTTGTTTGGACCACTATGGAGATCACTTGAAAGCGTAGTTCTTTGTCACATTACATGCAATTTGTTAATTACAATTTAATGATTTGTAAATTGTCTCATCATCAATAATGCAGCCATGAGAAAAAGGCTCGTGTTGCAGGATTGCTGTATTATAGGTCTGACCTGACCGGCCCGGTCGTGCTTAAGGCACACACGTTTTGGGCACACTACCAAATGTGCACTGTAACAGCACCAGGCGCTTTGAACCGCTCGGCAGCGAAATAGGAAAAGACAAATAAGCCGAGTCATGTGGTCACCCTGCCTCACTGCGACACTCCCATTGTAAATACTCTCTCATTTACACTCACTCTGCTCAGCCTTTATACTCATACACAAGTACGCTATGTTTCCTGCATGATCTATTACTAACAAAATTATTGAGATATTTTGGGCTATTTAGGCTTTATTATTATTATTTCTTTTATTAAAACCTATATTCTTTTTATATAAAAAAAAAAAATTCAAATTAAGGTACTTCCTGTGAATGATGGAAACATATCACTCTCTTGCACCATCTACAGCCAGTCTCCTGTTCAACATGTACATAGGCCTCAGGCATCTTTTTTTTAAAGGAAAAACCTGAAAAATGATGAGTGGAGAAACTGGATGACACTGCCTCCAGCCACAGGGCACGAGTATGAAAATGATGTGAATCCTGTACTATGGCCTTCACAATCACCAGATCTCAATCCAATTGAACTCTCTCCAATTAAACTGTTGGAGATATGGATGTATTTGTGTGTATGTGTGTGTGTTTGTGTGTGTGTGTGTGTGTGTGTGTGTGTGTGTGTGTGTGTGTGTGTGTGTGTGTGTGTGTGTGTGGGTGTGTGTGTGTGCAAATGTGTACATTGGCAAGCTGCATACCCTATTTGCTACTTCGCATAGGCCCGGCATGTTTAAACACTCTACAGTTTTCCCTTTGTTCGGCTAATTCATTAAAATCGTGGTCTTTTGTGTTTTTTTTTTCTCTCAATCACCATAAGCCAAAATATGGTCAGACGAAACTGGATCAAGCAAAATTCACTTTACTGATTTTTTTTTATATTAAAATTACCTTACTCGCACTACACCAATAGATTCCTGGACTTAGAGTGAACCGACCTGGGTTAAACATCATCTGGAAATTATTTTATATCAGCTAATGCTTTCTTTTAATCTATTTGGAATAGCAGATGGACGGAGTGAGCTGTGAACGCTACGTTTTCTTTCAGAGAGGTTGAACTGTCTGCACTGGCGGTTTTTGTTAGTGTCCCATAGTGTAAACCGCACCCAACCTTTACTCCATGTAGATTAAAACATGCTGGAACCACACACAGCAGATTAGCAGCAGGGAGTGTTTGCAGACAGATTTTCATTGCCACACAATAAGTCTCATTCATTGAATCACAGTAGATGAAGATAAAAGCCTGTGTTAAGAGTCCTCCCAGAGGATATGATAAGTGTACATACAAGTATGTGGATGTGCTTTTAGGGCTCATTGGGTCAAAATGTTTGTGATTATGGGACCATTCCCAGGATATTGTGCAGGCTTTCATCACTGTACGTTGATGTATTCTTGTTTATCTCCTGCCAAGTACTAGAGGGTGTGTGTGTCTAGCAGCTGGACTCATTTCAGATTCCACTATCAAGTCACGTAAACTCCACTATGCTAGTATTTCAACTTCATATAATGCTGTATCATTTCTGCTTATTCTATGTAACGTGTAATGGCTAATATGGAATAAAACTGTGACAATAACATATTTTTATTTGTGTTTATCTTATATCCTTGTTACTTGCGGGAATCTAGTTATCATTGTATGGACATCATTGTGTGTGTGTGTGTGTGTGTGTGTGTGTGTGTGTGTGTGTGTGTGTGTGTGTGTGTGTGTGTGTGTGTGTGCACGTGCGCATGTGTGTCTGTGTGTGTGATGGAGAGAGGAAGGGAGAGAAAGGCACCTGCAAAAAGAGAGAGGGAGGACAGAGAAACAGAAGCAGAGTGTATATACGTAAGTAGGTGAAGTAGTTTGGGGAGGGGTGGGGGCTGAGGGGTGGGGGGAGCAGGTGATATTTAAGCCACCGGCAAACTCTCTCCCCATCCATCTCTGCCTTGGCTCTGTCTCCTGCACCTCTTCAAAGACAAAGGAGGCCCTCCATCAGCACTCAGGTAAGACAGACAGCTTGGAGGGATTGCTTCACCTTACTTTCTCCTCTGCATCTGATGTAGGTTTCCTTGTAAAGTATTTTATCAACTGTGCAACTGCAGCAAATAGTGGTCACATGAAAGAAAAAAAAAAAACTTTTAGAGCAGTAATCCACCGGAGAGTGGGCACTCATCACAAGACCTGGAAAAAACAAAAGTGTGGGATTCATTTGAAGTCTTTCTGACTTGAAAAGTTACCGTTTGCTTTCTGCTGATGCGTGAGCTTCGAGAGGAGCGTGACAGGAAATGTGTACATCTATGACACATGGAAACAAGTGAAGCCAATAGGGATTTGTGGCAAAGCAGTGTTAAGAAATAACAATATAATGGGAATAATATGGAATAAACTATGTGAGATGTATGAATGACAAATATAAGCATGACATGGAAACAGAAGACAATTAGTGCATCATTGTTTCCTGCTCTATAAAATGGTTGTAGCCTTCTCTCCAGTCTCTCGACGTGGATATTGACCCGTCATTAAGATTACATAGTGCGTATGCATTATTACCATACTCAATATTGTGTTACTGATGGCATTTTTGTCTCCATGGTTTCCTATTGTATTGTGTCAGTCAGCGAGACAGATGACCCCTATAGATTTTCCAGTTAGCCAGCTTTGGTGTCCGCTCACCTCCTCCTTTGTCTCCACGGCCTACAACTCTGACCTCTCCGGCACAACGCTCTGCAGCGTGATGAGCGGCAGTAACCGGTGACTGACATTTTGTAATAGGTGATTAGTTAATAAATCATGCACAGGGAGATTGATTGACAGATTGATTGTTTCCCTTAGTGTTTTGTGTGTTTATGGATCAGCCTCAAAATAACACTGTACCCCTTTATTCTCCGCGTAGGAAGGTCCCTGAACTTTCCAAATTCAACTTGAAAGTTGAATGTGACTGAACGAGAATGGAAGTGAATGAGTGCCCTCACTTGTATCCACACGTTAGTGTATACACTGACACCTCAGGTTACTCAGCTCCTTAGTTTGACTGTGATTACCAGATGAGTTTTGCGTTTCACTTCAGGTTTACATTTTAAATGATAAGGCTGTTACACGATCAACATGTTCTACACCGAGACCACTTTTCTCTGATGCCACAGCGTTAATTGTTACATGCATTATCAATTCGGCTTACAAGAGCGATAACCTGGGGACTCTTAAAATCAGCTCAGCCCTTCTTAAAAGTACAGGAAGTGACATGAATGTGCCTTATAGTAAGTATTCACACTCAAACTGTACATCATTGACAGTGACTTATCTGTGTCTGTGTGTGCACAGTCTCTCCACGAGTCCAGCACGAGAAGCTCCACCATGCCGGACACAATGTGTGTAAGATTGTTCGAAAAGCCTTTCCAAAGCAATCCTCCACCTTTCTATCCAAACCTCTGAAATGTAAAACCCAGTAAGGTCACTCACTCACACACACACATGCACACTCACACACACACACACACACACACACACACACACACACACACAGTGACCAGACTACTTAAATTAGGGCCGGTAATAGCCTCTGCACTACATGCAGAGTGTTATTCGACCCGTTCTCTAGAAATGGGAAAACCTCTCTACTTTGGTTTCCTTCCATCCATTCATCTGCCTTTCAAACTATCACTTTGTCTTGGAGGTGGCTTCACCCTTGACTGCTATGTGGCCGCGCATGCAGCCGGGGCTGGAGCGGGCATTGGGTGGCAGAGTCTGACCTTTTGACCTGATTCCTTTTCCAGCATGTCCAAGGAGCCCAGTTCCAACCTGGAGAGTGCCATGCAGATGCTCATAAAGACCTTCCACAAATACTCAGGGAAGGAGGGCGACAAGTACACGCTGAGCAGGGGTGAGCTGAAGGAGCTGCTACTAGAGGAGCTGGGCAGTTACTTAGGGGTAAGAGAAGAAGTGTGTGAAGAGGCAAATATGCGGTTGTGCTCTAACACACTAATGTAGTTTGGAAATATGCGACACATGAGTGAAGGTATGTGCACACATACTCTGACACACAAGCTGGAACAAGCCTGTGCAGTGATGTAGCCCCACACACACACGCACACACACACACACACACACACACACACACACACACACACACACCACGCAACCACACACACACACACACACATAGCAGAGAACACATTCTTAACTCTTTCTCTCTCTCTCTCTCTCTCTCTCTCGCTCTGTTCCCCACTGACAGAGCTCCAAAGATAATGAAGCAGTTGAGAAGGTGATGAACGACTTGGACGCCAACAATGACGGGGAGGTGGACTTCACCGAGTTCATCATCCTGATGGGCGCCCTCACGGTCGCCTGCAACGACTTCTTCCTGGAGTACAAAACAGATGACAAACCAAAAGACGGAAGCAAAGGCGAGTCGGCGGAGAAGAAAGATTGAATCAGTGCAAGAATGGGGGCTGGGGGGGGTGGGGGGGGAGAGTGGGAGCTGAGAGGTGGAAAGAGGGAGAAGAGAAGGAGGAGGAGGAGGAAGAGGGGGAAGAACTGTAAATCATAAGAGATAGAGGAGCGAGTTGCTACGGAATTTTGTCTTATGCAATTTGTAAACACCCCAGCTACTCATACGGGAAGGGTCCAGCAGAGAGTTTGTGGGTTCACAGAGCATGGGGCATTCAGCAGGAGTAGTGTTTTCCCTCTGCAACTGTTTTTCATACCACAGCATATCCGGAGCTTGCTGCACTGTTCTCAGAGCAGTGAGTGACTTTACATACAGAACAGGGTAAACTCCAACTCCTTACAACTCAAGTTCAGCCGTTTTGACAGTATCCTGTGAGAGAGAGGTGCTGGTTAGATTTTTTGCAGAAGGCACACCAGGATGTTTAAGCATTTGTTGCACATAAATGACTTGTGAACATATATTAAGTTACAGATTATCATATTATTGTATGTACTCAGTGTTGAACAATAGGATATGATTTATCCCCTTTCTTGCGCCTATTTTGTAATCCTTTTTTTTTTTTTTTGGTAATAACCAATGCATTCTTCAAAATATTAAACATGGCATTTAACCAACCATTAGGAGTGGTGTGTTTGTTTACACATACTTCACAAAAATCCCTTATGCTGCACAAGTATTCATGGACATGACGGGGATGAATCGGTGCACCTGGAAATCAAGTTGAATGGTGTAGAAAGAAACAATGTCAGCAAACAGTGCGTGTGTGTGTGTGTGTGTGTGTGTGTGTGTGTGTGTGTGTATTGGGGATTCCCACAGAGTAAACTGCTCCAGCTCATACATCCTGCCAACAATATCCTGCAAGTCTTGTTCCACTAGATATAAGCTGACCCAGATGTTTGACTTGGATCTGCTCGGAAAACTTCTTCAAAAGAGGGCGACAGAGAGAGGGAGAGAGGGAGGGAGAGAGGAGAGACAGAGAGAGAAAAGAGAGGGAAGGGGTGAGGGTGTGAGAGAAGATAAAGAGAGCGTGTTTGTATGTCTATAAGTGTCTATGTGTGTGTGTGCGTGTGTGTGTGTGTGCATGTGTGTGTTTGTGAATGAAGGAAGGACAGCATAGGCGGGGAGTGAATGCAATTTATGGAGTACATCAGTGAAGTATGTAACTTGGAAAGCAGTGGTATAATCACAGAGGAATGTTCAAGTTGCTGTGACTGTTAGTACACATTGTCCCTCAGTGTCTCTCTCTCTCTCTCTCTCTCTCTCTCTCTCACACACACACACACACACACACCACAGATTAGTAAATCAACACGTCTTCTTCCACCTCATTGGCTTTTACAGCTGCTCGTCACTTTTAAAATATGTCAGAGGAAGAAATGCCGAGGCGCTGAATCACAGAAGGATCTCTTCACTTCTGGGTGTAATTGTGCTTGAACACTGATGAGCTTAAACACCTCCTCTTCTTACTGTCAGCAAGAGTAAGAAACTTATTCCCAGTCAGTCAGTCGGTGTCTATGGGCAGGGGGGTTCACCCTGCATTCATCTGCTATCATTCCTCCAGCCGCTGTTCTCTCTAAAGGCGTCCTCTGATTGGAGGGTTTGAATATTTGAGTTCGACATGCACAGCATGCAGATAGGTAAACAATTTGAAACAGAGCGGTGACTGTTAACCCTGTTGTAACCTGAGGGCAAACAAACAACCTGTTACGAGTGCTAACAGTCTTGGTTACCTGCTGTGTCATTCCAAAGGAGCGATAAATCACCTGTTTTCATGTGGGAGAAAAAAAAAAAAGAGTAGAAAAAATAATGGAAGCAGAAGTCAAATCCTCTGATCCCTAACTGCAGGTGCACGTGGGAAAAAAGGAGAATTATTTAACATGCCAAGAGGAAGAGTTTCAGCATGCAGTATACCTGCGGCAGCTGAGGATGTATCCAGATCCTATGCAGCGGTACAAGTAAAAATCCTACATTCAATCTACTACTTAAGTTAAAGTTCAGAAGCATTATCAGCAATATATACTTTATGTAGCAAAAGCATTTGTTTTTCTGCGAAACAATTGTCGCTGTGAATGCTATATTATTATAAATTACAATTTTAGATTGTTAATACTGGTGCATCAATGCACAGGTACCATTTCAATTTGGTAGCTGGTCACATTGGAGATAAACATAACAGTGGTTCCAGCCAAGGGGTTGGGGCCCTCCCGAAGGTCACAGGATAAATCTGAGGGGGCTAGGGAAGAAGAAAAAAGAAAATTAAATTCATTTTCTGCAAAAGATTCATGTCATTTTTAATGGGGCAACAGGCCCCAGCCACACTCTGCTGTTGTGTGAGGGGTCACCAGCCAAAAAAGTTCAGAACCACTGGTTTAATCTTTAACAATGAATTGTGTTTTATTAGCTTATAATTTTAATGTAAAACATTAATAGGAAAGGTAGCTCGTAACAGCAGCTGTCTAATAAATGTAGTGCAGTAAAAAAAAAAGTACAAAATTTCCCCCTGAAATGTAGTGGAGTAGAAGAATAAAGTGGCATCAAATTGAAATTCTTAAGTAGGCTACATCTACCAACAAATTGTACTTAAGTACAGTACTGGAGTCAGTTATATTCCACTACTGAAGGATTACAAGTAGTGCTAACTGGTTTGTCATTGAAAAGCAGCAGCAGTGTTTGAACTGGTGAGTAAAATCATGTGTTATTGATGAATATTTTTACACTATACATTTATTGTTGTATCAAATTTAGTGGTTGTTAAACGCGAGTAAATCCCAATGTGAATCCGTATGTAGTCAAAGAGAGGAGGCCGATGCTTCTTCAGTGAGTTAAGTGCTTGTAACTGAGGTGTATCAGTCGTGAAGCACAATGAGACAGACACCCTGCACGAGTTACACTCCAGAGCAGTTACTTAATTCTCAGTCACATGGTCTTTTCAACCACCCAGGGACATACAATGGCTTGAGGACATCCTGCAAACAGTATCTAAAAACAGGCCTGACCTTAGCAGGGGAACCGATTCAAACTAAAAGGCAAGAGTCTCTGCTGATGGATCACCCACACGGCAGGTGCCGCCTGCGTGAGAAAAGGAGATGAGCAGCACAAAGCCGGGCCCCGTCACTGGCGACGAGTCTGAAGCATCTGATAAGGATGGCAGGGACACTTCGGTTACCAACGGAGCAGGTCAAGTCATCTCGTCCGTCAGACACAGCCAGGCGGCGATCACGTCAAGCTGTCATGCAAGCCGGAGAAGGGGGCAGCGATTGCGTGAGAGTAGGATGGCATACACGTGAGAACAAAATGAAATTATTCATTCAAGTATACAGTAGCATGGGTGAATCCAGGTCTATATCATTTGATGATTAAGTCCTTTCCAGGTGTAGCTTGCTCTGTCTTGGGTAGAATTTGAGAAGGCCTGCTTTCCTCAGGTTCATGAAATCCATCTTGATAGGAGCCCGCAGGGAGACCTTATGGCCGCAACTCACTGCCAAGGAGGAGTCAGGAGACATATGAATTACAAGGCTCTGGCACGACTAATTCATAAAGAACATGCTTTGATGTAACAGGCAGCGGTGGGAAGTAACTAAAGCACTGCACTTAAGTACAGTTTAGAGGCACTTGGACTTTACTTGGGTATTTCCATTTTATATTAGTTATACTGCACCACATTTCAGATGCAAATATTGCACCTTTTACTCCATTACATTTATCTGACAGCTGTAGCTTTGAGTTACTTTTCAGATTAAGATTTTACATTTAAAAAAGCATGAAATAATCTTAAAAAAATACAACACATTGGTAAAGTTTAAACCAGCAGGCCTGATGATGTCAGTGTATTTGATTCTGTATTCAAACTTTGAATGCGGAGCTTTTACCTGGAGTGGAGTATCATCACACTGTTATATTGGTACTTTTACTTCTTTAAATGATCTTCAACCACCAACAACAGGTGTATTTTACTGTAGCAAAGTGAGTAAAAGTGTCTCCTAAGTCACCTGCCACCATTCAACCGCTTCAAAAGGAAACAGCAGTCCATGAGGTAAGGCGAGCGGCCTTCATAAACTAAAGCACAAACTCTTGGCTCCAAACAGAGGTAAACAGTGATCGTGTCCTCCCTGTGAGTCAAGGAGAAACAGGTGACAGACAGATATCAGCCTCGGATAACACAGACAGGGCGAGGAAGGTAAAGGAGAGGGGGCCAACGATACGTAAGAAAAGGAGGGAAGGAGAGAGGGATGGTGTCGATTGCTCTTCTTTTTTTTTCCCTTCACATTAAGCGCTCCTTGACATGGGTGTAATGATACTACTCTTACTCTTTGTCTGTTTTTAGAGCCGCGTTTACCTTAGATCTACACACACGGCACAGGCCTGGGTGCTCACTGCAGCTACGTAAGCCGTTTGTCCTCAACATGATCCTTGGCTAAACTTAATCTCCCCGCTACACCTCCCCCCAGACCTTTTCAGTCTAACCCTGCATAATCATTGATCTCCTTTTAGCAAAATGGAGAGCTAAACTTGCAGACAAATTTCCAAACCGCTGAAACCACAGTCAGGCTCTCATAGTTAAAAGATTCATTATGCTCAAAAATGCCCTCATTAAGTCATTCCAGCGTGTGTGAAGAGGCCGGTTCCTCGGGGACGATGGGAGGGTCTGATGCTTTGATCATTCTCTTTCAGCGCCCCGACATTGACACAAACACCCTCACATTTAGCTGTTGATGTTGTTGATTTATTGGGATCAGAGAGACGCTCACAGGGGATCTCCAGCATTGAGATTCAGGACCTTTTATTGTAATCTGTTTTACAACGTTTCTAACAGCAGGTCTCCACATATCAAAAGACATCGGTGAAAAATGTATAGCAGGTGTGTCTCCTTGGATTACCTCTGCTTGAACACTCTGCCAAAAACCACAAACTGACTTCCCTTTAAATCCTTGAAAAGACTCAGGAGTGGCAGACCGCCAAAAAAAAAAAAAAGAAAAAAGAAA